GGTTAAAGGATAACGCATTAGGCCCAGCCAGGTTTTCCTATCTAATGTTTTAGGTGTAGCTTTTGTAAATAGCATTTAGTTGGACAATTTAGAACATTTTAAAAAAAAATAAACTAAAATATTTGGCCTGACAATCCTTTTCTTTTGATACAGCCTATAACTTACATTGTCATTATTGAAATATTCAGATATATATACACCATTTTGTTCTGTTCTTTCAATTTGTCCCAAATTTTCTATGTTTTTCCACTTCCTGTTTTACTTTCTTATTCATTTATCTGTTTATTTAATTTTTGGTACAGGAATCAAACTCAAGACCTCGTGCTTGCCAGGCAGGTGCTGCGCGGCTGAGCTATATCCCAGCCCTGTCTTACTTCTTTTGAGCGAATTGTTTTTTCTTATTGTTTAAACCTCTACTAGTTTGGAAGTTACAGGCTGCATTTCAATTATATTGTTAATTACTTTGTAATTTCACTGATCGATCTCTGTCCTTACCAGTGTTTGTTTACCTTCCTTCCAAATGCTCTGGTGATGGTTTGAATGTGTCACACGAAGCACCTGCTGGAGTCTCACCCCAGCCCCATGCACTGGTGTTGGGAGCTGGGCCCGAGGGGCCGCGCTGAGGGCCTGAGGACCCACCCTTGTGTGAATTAAAGCTGGTCCTAAGAAAGGCTTGTTGGCTGCACCATAGGATGGTGACCAAAAAGGCCTGCATCAGGCCTTTGCCAGGTGCCCACTCCTTGCTCATGGAATTTTTAGTCTCCAAAACTGTGGGCCAGTGAATTCCTGTTCATTTTAAATTACAGTCCCAGGTATCTCGTAGCAGTAATAAAGGTCCTTGATCACTTTTCTTCTGCTCCTAATACGCAGATATTCTTGCTTCAGGCCTCTCATTTAAGCCCTGTTGTTCACTTAACAGACTCATGCAGGGTTCTTTCACCTCCATCACCCTCCTACCCTGGAGGTCACAGTATGTTCTAGAGTCAATTTCAATAGCCCAGTTTTGTTATTTTATTTCTTTCTTTCTTTTTTTTTGTCTTTTGTTTTTATCGGTACCAGGGATCGAACTCACGACTGCCTGCTTCAAGGCAGGCGCTTATGCCGCTGAGCTAAATCCCCAGCCCCCCCCCCTTTTATTTTTATTTTTATTTTTTTATTTCATTTTTATGTTTTAAACTTTTTAAGTGCCAGACATGTTTATCCCCCTGGGAGACTGGACAAGCCCAGAAGAACTTCAGTTCTTGTCTTCCAAGACCCTTTACGCTGGATGCCATAGAAATTCAACTCCAAATGGCTTCCATATAAAGTCACCCTAGAAGATTCATTGGTTTCAAGGATGTCACCAAGGAGAGTGCTTCCCAGCATCACCAACCAATTCTTTCATTCTCTAGGCGTCAACTAGGTATTTGACACATTCATTCAACTGTGACACTAACTACCTGAGGTTAGCACAGACTCCACCACTTAGAGGCTCACAAAACACCCTCATTTCACATGCCAGACACAAGTCCCAGACCTTACTTCTGATTATGCAGTTACAAATTGGCGGTTCCCACAACTCCCTCTGCAGGTCTGATCATTTTTTTTTTGTTTGTTTATGTAATTAATTTTTTGTAAAGCTATTGGATAGATATCTTCCCTTTTTCTCACTATGTTTCCCAGGCTATTCTCACACTCATGGGCTCAAGCAATCCTCCTGCCTCAGCCTCCCAAGTAGGTGGAACTACCAGCTTTAAATACTTCACTAGGATGGCCTACGGAGCTCAGGAATTTGTGTTTATTGGTTTGTTGTAAAGGATATTATAAAGGATATGATGTACAGACAGGTGAAGGGTTGACCGCAGTGAGGTCCTGAAGAGTGCCTAGAGCAAGGGTTCCTACCCAATGAAACTGAGTACACCACCTCCCCGGCGTGTGGACATGTTCGCCATTCCTGATGCCCTCCTGACTCCATTGTTTGAGGTTTAATGGAGGTCTCATTGTGTAGGCACGGTCAGTTACTCAGTCTCAGTCTTTGCCTCTTCCCCAAGTTTGGGGTGGAGACCGAATGTTCCAGCATCTCACTGTGGCTTGATCTTTGCATGAGAACGCCCTATCCTGAAGCAATCAATGTGCCCAGCAGAAGTCACCTCATCACAACAGAAGACACTGCTGTCACCCAGGAAGTTACGAGAAACTTAGAAGCTCTGTGCTGGGAATCAGGGACAAAGGCCAGAATAAAAGATGCTCCTTTCACTCGGGAAAGTACCAGGGATTCAGGATCTCTGTGTCAGAAACTAACTAGGGGTGATTTTATATATATATATATACATATGTCTAAAGGACATGGTCCCCAATTTTCAGTCTCTCCCCTGGGCCCTTGGTGGTCTTGATTTCACCCGCAATGTTTGACAGAGGGGCCCTCTGTCGACCCCATCCTCTCTATTCATGAAACCGAATGACCATGTGGTGTGGTCCCTGCCACATCCTTCCCGTACACTTTTGCAGGGAAAAGGGTCCCTTCCAGCAGCTCCGGCTCAAGCCCTGACTTCTGGGACCCTTGCTATTGTTGGCCTGGCCTGGGTCATGTACCCATCCCTTGAACCTGCCACAACCCACCAGAAGCAGTCCACAGCACAGACATGGAATAGTGAATTCACACACACACACACACACACACACATACACACACCATCTGTGTACCACTGCCCAAGAATTGGGAGGCAGATCTTGTGAAGCTATTGGATGGATATCTTGTATCTTTTTCTCAAACCATGTCTCCCAAGAGAGAACTGAAGATGTGAATTCCTCTTGTCTGCGTTTGGACAATGCCAAGTGAACGGTTTCTCATTTGAACTGAAATTAAAAAGGATCCTGTGGCCCCAAATTTTCAAGTCAAAGAAGCAGACAAGTTGTTATTCTTAGAGAAATTCTATAAGAAATCCTACCAGTAAATTTGCCAGGAATTTGCCTAATTCCAAAGCTCAGGCTAAGCTACCTTCTCATTCCAAGAGGTGGGAGGTGAGGAGGGTGTTTGCAAAAAAGGGCACTTGAGTCACATCTTACAGGCCTGCCGAAGATCTGACATTTCCCTTGATGAGTGACTACAGTGTGGGTGCCCCACTGCTTTCTGAATTCTTTCTTAAGAAATACTTGATTGCATTTAACTGATATCCCAGTGTTTGAAAGTAGGAGGCAGAACAGACTGGAGAAGCAGCCTTACCTGAGAAAGGAGGAATCTGCCTACATGTAGACAGAGGTAGTGTATTGCCTCTGTTTTCCCCTGTTGTTTTTCCAGGGGGCAGGGGTGCATTTAAGAGATGTTATTAAGTGTAACTTGTCTCCAGAAACAATAAAGTGTGGATTTCAAATTCATGATGCAAAAAAATTAATTTTGGCTAATCTTTCTGTACTATTTGCAGTGGTAACTGCAATGAAGATTAATAACCTTGACTGCCATTAGCATAATCCACTGTAATGCTAGATATAAAATTGCATCATTTTAATAACCTAATTTAATGTTTTCTAACCAGTAGGGGTTCTTGTGGCTTTGCAATAATAGTGCTAAACTCTTTAAACTAAAAACAGATAACTTTGAAAATACCTCTGGAATAAAAAATACAGGATTGATTTAACCACTCACAGTATGCACATCTTAGTTTTTTATGGGATTACATGGTACATGTATGTGTGTGCATGCAAGCCTGTGTGTCTGTGAGCCTTCTTAGCCTAATGTTTGCAAAATCAACAGTGAGGGTGCATTCAGGGAGAGCATGGGGCTCTCTGGGTGGGCTTGGGCTTATCATACTGCCGAGACTTTTCCCAAGACACAGTCTGTGTTCTGCTCCCACTTTCCCTTCTGATTTCAGGCAAGTCACTTCTCTTGGGCCTCAGCGCCTATGTGTAAGGCAAGGTGGGGGCTGCCTTTCTCCTCTGCTCCTTAGTTAGTGCCAGTGCCAGTGGCTTTTGACAGACACAAATGTCTTCCAGGGTGCTTGAAGAAGGCTCCTCCTCTATTTCTGCTGACCTGCAGGGGGTGCTGTTACTCAGCATTTCAGGGTTCTGAATTTCACAGAATTACCCATTTTTGAAGAACTGGGCCCACCTTTGCATTCTAATGGCCTGTTTTCCCAGTTTTCATATAATTTAATAATGGGTCAAAATTTCTTTAAAATGGGGAGACGATGTTTTATTTACTGATTTAATATAATACAAATGGGTATAATGGCAGGTTACCCTATTTTTCAGTTAGGCCTAATGATACCACTGCTAGCCACGACAATGTGTTATTTTAAATGTTTAACTTTTTTCTGAAAACTGGCAGTATGGTCCTCCCTCTGTCTTTTCCCATAGCTAAGGCCAAAGAAAGACATTATGCTCAGGTGCAGGAGGGCAGCAGGAAGCAGGCAAGGGTCCCCTTTAACACAGCAGAGGGAGAATGTGGGATGAAAGGAACTCAGCCACCCACCTCTCCAGTTTTTGGTGTTAGGTCAGTCCCTCTTGTTTTTATCAGTGCTATGACATGGTATTGGCATTTACCAAGATGTGCAGATGTGCGTCCTCTCCAGCTTCAGTTCGGGGAGAGCAAGGAAGGCCACAGACTGAGCCCCTTCAGTGCCACATGCCCAGTTGTCTGCACAAAGACAATTCAGTCTACCATGCAGACCCCAAACCCCCAAATCGCCCCCACTCATATACCAAACGCCTTTGGCCTGGTCAGCACATACATGATCAACACACAGCCAAGATCCCCCCCACCCAGTAGTAACCCCCAGTGGACCTCCAGGCTCCAAGTTTCTGATCACTCCAAAATGTGCTAAGTTATATTTTTTTCAATTTATCTCCTGTCTTAGATGAATCACTTGTTGTTCAATTTTCCATGGCCCAATTTTCTCCCAGAATAATGGGAATAGTACCTGTCATCTACCTGGTAAGGTGGCAACTAATTAACTGACTTTTGAGGTCTTTAGATGAAAGGTGATACTGTTTGTAAATGTAAATTATGATTATTTAATAACCACTGAGTTGATAAAGATATTTATTCATAAGGAATTTTTGGAAGAGAGCTTTCAACAATGAATCATAGGAGAAATACAGCTTGATATATTTTTTGAAAAATGTTTTAGGTCCACCAACATGGAAAAAGTCCCAAGTATTAGATATTCTTTCCCAAAGCACCTAAGTTGCATTATGGGTAGTGGCTTTTATCTAGAGCTAAGAGGAAAACATAAGGATGAAAGTGAGAGGTTCCAAGTCTCCATTTAGGGGACTTCCTTTCCATCCTTTGGATTCTGGGCCTTCCCACCCCTGACTCCACAAATGTGCCTGAAGTCTGGGGACTATATTGTTTTTCTGGCCCCCTGACACTGTGCAGTGTCTCTTCTGAGCAACCCTGTCACAAGGCCTTTACCTCTCTGACTTAACCCTGGCAGCTGTGAGTATCTTTCCGCAGAGGCGGGAAACTAAGCAGAGTGAACAGGTTTGTAAAGGTAGGGAACGCATCCTTGAGTTCATGAGCAAAGTAATGGAAACCTAGCAACTCTCCCTGGAGCTGTGGCCACTCCTAACCCGGGAGAGTTGGTTTATCACAAATTGTCACACTACTGAAAGAAGAGACCTACTGCTAACCTAGAAAGAGGCTGATTCATACAGGCAATTACATCATTGCAGAGTCCGCTCAGGCCCTCTGCCAGCCTGCCTAGACACAGGTTCCCACCTGGTGCAGGCACACCCAGTTCGCCTCCTGTGTGTGTGTCACTGAAGGAAGCCACTGTTAAGGTGATCCACAGCCCACCCCAGGGCGGTGTCTGCATGGTTTTAGCAAGGAACATGCTAACAGTAACAACCAAGCCACACCTACATAGAGGGCCAGGCCCTTCTGATGCTGGTGTGGGAAGGAAATTGGTCCTCGACTGGACAAATCTTTGCTGTTGCCTTGCGGAGACCACAGGAACGGGTCCCACTGCAAGTCACAAAATCTCTCTCCCCACTTTCATACACTCACATCAAAGGAAAACAAAGTCACTGAAACCAAAACGTGTTTAACAAAGGAAAACTCAGTTTCTTCTTTGGTGACATGAGAAAATTTACCACAACTCCATTCAAAACCTTCAGGCACTTGACTTTTTTTTTTTAAATATCCTTTACCTTTTTAATAAAAAGTAAAAAAACAAACAAAAAATACATCAATGTCCTGAATAGAACCTCTCTATGTAAAAATCTCACTAAACAAATAAACATAGAACCAGACAAGAAATGGAGCTATGAATAGCAATATGATATATTACGAAGCATTTATATATTTATGTCTATTGTGTATGAATGTGCAGGTATAAGTGTGTGCACCTATGTATGTATGAATCTGTAAATATTTGCCTACATACACATCACACACACATATATATATTTATACTGACCTCTTTAGATTGAAGTCCAAGGCACTTTTTACAATGAACAGGTTAAAGCCATTAATTTAGAACATAACTGTTTCTGGGTACATATCGATTTACAATGCCAACATTAGAATTCACATCTTTCCTTCCCATCTTGGCTGGCATAATAAATAAGGGAATGGGCTTAAGAAGAAATTAGGAGTATTTCTGGATGATTGGAATATTTCTTCTGCTAGTTCCTTGAGAGTAGGACACTGGTAGGACACTGTGCTGATCGGGAAAGGAACCCAGGGATCAGGAACACAGCTATTTCTGCACTATTCTGAATGGAGACTGTGTGGTTTTTTTATTCAGGGGACTGGCCCCCAAGGTTCTGCCTCCTGTGGCCCTACTCATAGTGGCTAAAATGGAAAATCTAAAAAGGGCTTTGAGGGGGCTCAGGACAAATCAGGAAGCACTTGACAAATTAGAATAAGACTTCCCATGTCGACTTCACTATATTTCATATACATCATCCCAGCTATATGACTTCAAATGGATTTTAAGATCCGTTCATCTCTATCCTTATGACCAACAGGACCTTTCAGCCATCAAATAATTTGGTAAATGAGACTCAAGGAAGAATTGGTTTAACTCTCTGATTAATGAAGTCAGTTACCTTTGCGGTGTCTCAACATTTACTGAGTGTACAGATCACCTAGGGGTTTGTTAAAATGCCAGTTCTCGTTAAGCATGTTTGGTGTGGGGTCTGGGATTCTTCATTTCTAGCAAGTTTTCAGGAGATGCTAATGCTGGGGTCTGCAGACCATACATTGTGGAGCAAGGATTACCACATAGCAATATACCTGAATTACCGCGCAGAGGTCTGCTTTCCCAAGTCTGAAACTGAATTGGCTTCCCTGATTTTAGATGAATAACGACTTTGTGGGAAAGGTCAGAAAATAATTGTTCTCTATAAATGTAAATGTCTTGGTCTGAGAGGTGCTAGAAAGAAAAGCCAAAAGAGAGTTCCATTTAGTGCTAGCAAAGTGTTAAGAAACAAATCGATTACCACTAGTACATTTCATCAGTCAATTACAAATTGAGAATTAGCTAATTTCCATTACCCAGTGAGTAAGGAACCTACTGAAAACAGGCGCCCCAGAGTTCTGAGCCTTTAATGGAGCTCAGCCTACCATACAGGGAAATATAGATGCTGGGAGAACTTAGCTCCACAGAACATGGCCTGTGCACAAGAGAGTGTTGACCTGCAGACTGAAACTGGGCACTTAGGTCTTTCTCTTTCAGGTGACGTAACTAATGCCACAGAGACCCAAGCCTTGATTGGTTCAATGAATAAAAGAATTGAAGCTCAAAGATCCTGGTGTGGTGGCACATGCTTGTATCTCAGGCTGAGGCAGGAGGGTCACCTCTAGTTTGAGGCCAGTGTGGACTAAATATTGAGTACAAGTGTGAACTACATAGTAAGACCCTGTCTTGAGAGAGAGAGAGAGAGAGAGAGAGAGAGAGAGAGAGAGAGAGAGAGAATTGAAGCTCAAAACTTAAATACTTTGAAATTTGACAGGATTCCAGACCTTTTTCCCAGGAGAAAATCTGTTTTTTACTGTCTGTACTATCTGTTAGAGTTTGTGAAGGGAACAGACACAAAGCCTTGGTTAAATCTACTCTGATGCTACTTTGTCTGTAGGGAACCTTGGTTCTTAATGAACACATCGTTTTCTTCCAGAGATAAGGCCCTGGTCATTCAAAGGAGAGAACAGGGAAATTCTGCATATGTGCTAGGCCACTATATGGAGAAGGAGGGGAATGGATTTCAGGAGTTGCTTGATTTTGCCATAAAGAATACATCTCAATTGAAATGATTTTTTCCCAGCAAAGGTAGAGTAATAGCAAAGGAAGCTTGGCTCTCCCATGCATATCCTGCCCCCTCCTTCCATCATTCCCTTGGGAGCTGGGCTCCACATGAAGTGATAAACATGCAGCCACCTTGCTCCCTCTGGAGTGCTGCCAGCTCAGAAAAGCACATCTGCATGCTGGGTTCTCCTCCAGCCCTGCCTGAGTGGACTGCTGATCCTGCCCCCACTCTTCCATAGAGAAATGCTTAATGCTTAGAATTTCAAGTACTGTATTTTGAGTCACAGGAAATCAGGACCCTTCCTTATACTTGATGCCAACCCTGGAAAGGAAAACTTGTTGACTGAGTTAGAGACCTAATTTGTGGAGTGGAATAGGATGGGGCCTTTGCATTTATGTGGAAAGAATCTGCCCTTTTATTAAACAGGCTATGCACAGCCACAAAGGAGAAATGGCTTTTAAATATCTCTTCTGAAATGGCTTGACAGAATTTAGGGTAGAATTGTTCTCCCAAGCTTGTAATAGTGTTTTCTTTTTTGTCACTTATAGCCAGCTCTTGGAGAATGAGAGTATGGCTGTTGATAGGGACCCCAGGCCAGGTAAACCCCAGGCTACCTCTGACAGTGATGTGTACTCAGAAACAGTTGTTGGGAGAGCAGGCTGACACTGGACCTGCTAAGACTAGTTTAATACAAAATGTTAATTGAAAGTTACAATATACTTTATAATATAGCAATATATTTCATATTTAAAATAAACTGTTATGCTTTCTCCTATCATTAAAAAATAGCAAGCAGCGCAGAGGCAAGATGCAAATTCATATTGAAGCTCATCCGAACCGGAATATGAACACTTCAGTCTCTGAGTCTGCCATCGAAATATTTCCTTAATATCCTGTCACTTTCTTTTTCTTTTGTGGCCAGTGCAGAATGGAGAGCCTGGGACCAAAATCGAGTTGTCGCACCACCAAAACCCATATACGATGAAGGTGGATCTGTCCTGATTGGGATTCAAAGACCAAATACAGTTCGGGAATGCCATTTATTCCCAGTCCTTCTTGTGGGAAGCTGGATGTTGCCTTGTCCAATCAGATTCATAGTTTTTTTTTTTTTTTTTTTTTTGCCAGAATTGTCAGTATCTCTTTGGGGTCCTCACTATAGGTTGATGTTGAATTTTGTGCTTTTTCTCCACCAGCTTGATTGGTCACGACGTCTCTTCTGTATGTCCAGGCCCAAGATCACAGCTACCAGAATACGTGTCTCAGGTGTGTAAACAACTGTCGCTGGGCACTTGGCACCTAGGGTTGGAGGTCATACGTTGAAGATTTGACATTGGTTTCATTCAGAGGGAACTCCAGTTCATGTGTGGGTGTTTCCAGTAATGATGTAAGACAAAAACATCACAGTTATATTTTCTCTATCTGTATGTTTCTATATACTTTGGATTCAGTGCTTTCTAATAAGCTGTAGTCTATTTCAGAAAGAACCTACACATTACTTTCTGACAGGAGTTTGAAGTTAATTTCTATTCATGCATCCTGGCACACTCCTCCTACCGCCACAGGCAGACAGTTAATATTGCTATCCCGATAATACTTTCTCAGTGGTACAAGTGACCCCAAACTCTCCAAACGTTTACTTTGGGGGCCGTGGAGGAAGAACAGATACCATCCAGGGTGCTATCAAGCCGACTGACTGCAGGGGGAGAGAAGGGACTGGCCCGTGCTTACCAGGAAGTCACAGTAGCTGTCTAAGGTACTGAAACCAAATGCCACAGTCAACAAAATGACTGCTAATGGATTCTCAATCTGCTTCTAGCAACTTTCCAGGAAATACAATGACTCTATAAAACTGGGGACATATCTTAGGATTTAAAGCAGTAAAAGAACAATAACCTAGTGGTGGTGCAATGACTTCACAGTGTCTCAGATGGGGTCCTGTGATCACGACAAGGCCGTTTCCTTCGTGAGGAAACTGATTCCTAACTGGGAGTGCACTGTTTACATAATTACACTCTGGAGGAGGAAGGAGGTTCTGGAACTATGTGCTCATCCCACACCCATATTCCTCCCTGCTGACTCTGCGGCCCATCTGACATTTCATAATGACTTTTTGGTAATTACGGACTGCATTCAAATGTAGCAGCAAAGTGTGGCCTAGTTGGCCAGTCCAAGCTGCTGTTGGTGACAATAGTGATTTCATTTTTCCCCTCTACTGAATATTTTGTAATTACTAATATTAATATTACCTTCATTTTAAGTACAGAGAAGCTGAGGATCCAAAGATGTGGATCCAGATTTAGATTTTTATTTATTGTGGTTTTTTTTTAATCCCTAATATTGTTCTTTTGCATGACTTATTCACAGAATATCACTTAAAATGTAAGGGGGAAATCCTCAAGTATAATAAAGTCATTATCTCTCAATGATATTCCTTCTTGGCCTTAATAATCACAAGAACTTGCACTTGCTCAGCATTTTAGTATTTATTCTCCTGTGCACAGTCTACAGCTCCTAATTTATGAGGCTGTCAGACCACTGGTCCCTGCTGAAGTCAGGCAGTCAGTGGTGACTCAGGGTTGACCTCCTCTTGTTCTTTTGGATTGTATTAAGCATTTCTATAGATATAATGTCATGAGGTTATATATTTGGAAGATGACAAGAACAGTTCATAAACACTTTATGACAATTTATTGATGATGATCACACGTATGTGGCCTTTAATCCAAAGGTGCAGATTTTTATTTGGACTTCAATCTAAGGAGGAGTGAGCTTCTAGTCTGGTATAATTTACCAACTGCTGCTATTTCCTCAAATTCCACTGAGATTAGTGGTATTAAAATATCACAGTACGTCCCTGACTTTACAGTACATGAAGCTATAATATGGCTTAAGCGATGAGGGGGTGGCTCTGTATTTCTAATTCAAGTGTGTAGATAGCTTGGGGAATATTAGAGTGCTTTGACCTGCCACTGTATCATCAGAAAGATTATAGGAGGAGCTCTGCCACTGGGCCGGCCTTCTAGGAGTGGGCAGAATTAAGTAGTTCAGTACTGGAATGAGGTTACCATGATTAATAGTTTTCACACATAGCCCATTAGATTTTTCATCTGCTTGTTTTGGGGGAAGGTCTTGGTCTTTTTCTCCTCCTTTTTTGATACCACTAATCAAACTCATGTTTGCTGGACAGAGCCTCACACTTGCTAGGTAGGTACCACATCACTGAGTTACATCCCAAGCCTATGTGGCCCATCCTTAAGTAGAAAATTAAACCTCCTCCACTACCAAACTTGCAAATAAAGTATAAGTAGGCATGGCATTAGACTCCTGTCTCCTTTCCCCTCTGACTGTGATGCTGAGGTCAAAAGAAAATCCAGGTGAGTTACATCCAGGATAATCGATACCTAGGTCATTAAGAGTTGATTATATTTGCAAGAGAATTGTAACTTCCCCACATAAAGCTGAAATACTAGTACAGAGAAATAGAATCCCATTTACCATTACAGAATCAACATGCAGATTCAGTCACTTATTTCTTGAAGAGTGAGTAGTCTTGCCAATGATAGAAACCATTCATAGCTATTGCACTACCAATAGGTCAAGTCATGCTACAAATGCCCGTGTATCTCTGTGATGCCAGTGGGCACTGCTACTGGAAACAGCTCCCAAAACTCCCTCAACTGGTTGCTGCTAACTTGGTCTTCAGTGTTCACCTAGTGAGAGCATCAATAATGGGCTAAAGAATTATCCACAGACCATGATGGGCAAATAATAATCTGTGCACACTTTCAGGAAGAAGGAGTGGTGGGCAAATCTTTTTTTCCCTTTATTTTTTTTTCTTTTTCTTTTTTAAGACAGGTTTTCACTATGCAGTTCAGGCTGGCCTTAAACTCATTTTGTAGCACAGGCTAGCCTCAAACACATAGCAATCCTCCTGCCTCAGTGCTGGGATTACAGGTGAGCTCCACCAACCCAGCAGGTGGTGGAATCTTGCATGTCATTAATTGAAAGGAAGGCTAAATCTCTACGTGTGCATATGCCCATGGCCACACCCATACATATGTGTGTGTGCACACAGCACAAGGTGGAGCAGAATGGAAGAGGTGAGCAGGTGTCAGTGGTTGAGGACAGACATTAAATGATCAAGATTGGCGTACTCAGGAGGACCAATCAGGGGGCTTTGTGAAATGGAGGTAATGCCACAAGGAAACTGCATGACTATTTCATCTGTTTATACATCTGCTCACACAGAAGCACCATTCTTGGAAAGAAAAGGAAAAAAAAGGAAGGGAGAATCTTTCAGATAATTAATAGTAAAAGAATGAGTATAAAAATAAAAAGCCAACAGCAGGTGTGGCATCTCTGGTATGCAAAAAACAAAAACTAATGAAAATGTTCTGGGGAATTACCAAGAGTAAACCATTAAGAAGATTAAAACAGCAGCAGCGGATCGGGGTGCAGCTCAGTGGTAGAGCACTTGCCTGGCATGTGCGAGCATCCCCAGCACTGCCAAACAAGCAAACAAAACAAAATCAATTGAAAGACACAAAGAAGAGGTTAGCAACAGACCAGATCTTCCCAAAAGAGAGGCCCTCGTTTTAGGTAGTGGTTATCTACCTAACAGGCCAGTGATTCCTTCATCCCTAGAGGACCGGACCCAGCACTGCAGAGGAAAAGTCTGCACAGCAAGGCACCACCTTGAGAATGCCCATGATGTTTTGGTGCAAAACTAAACCCAGAATGACAATCTTATGCAAGTAACACCCCTTTGTGTTACCCTAAACAGATGAAATATTTCATACAGTACCATTTACTTTCCCAGAAGCAGAGGTCAAACACCTCAGATTGTGAAAAGTGATGACTAACGTGATGGGCTTCACATCACAAATGCAATGTGTAGTCAGATTACGGAGCAATGAAAAAGATTTTCAGTGCCTGTCACTATGCTCTGTCTTGTTTTTGGAGTCTCCTGGAGTTTGAGACATATGGGAATAATTTTTGCACCAAGATTAACATGGCATAGTAGGAACAGTCTGCAAATCTCTTTTATCTTACCCACAAGGTTTCCTTTGGGGCTATGTTCTCACTAGATTTCCCTTTGAGGTGACTTCAGATCAGGTAGAAGGGACCACACAGGCCACTCTATCCTCCTCCAAGCTTAGCAGCTCACCAGTGGGCACCTGGCCCTTTTGTACTCCTAATGTCTGTCACTGGGTGGATACAGCTCAGCAAATCCCAGACAACACTTCTATTCCTGGTCATGTCATTGGGTTGCCCCTGCTTGTGCATGCTCTGTTCCCCTCCCTCGCATATATATACCTGTGCACATGGTCCCTCAAAACACAGCTTGTTTAGATGTAAGAAGAAAACTCTGCAAGATCTGTTATTTTTAGAAGCTTGCTTATCCCTCCAGAATGCCAACAATTTTGCTCAGCATTCACTTCAAATAACACATAGTGTGTATCCAGGGTAAAGCAACCTGTACTGTGTTGGAAGGGACCTGCATCTTCAATAAAGCTCAGAAGGTGGCTGTTACTAGTTAACTACCTGAACCAAATGCATCCCACACTGAGATGCAAGCCAACTCGACCCAAGTTAGAGACTGCCTACTGTGTGCAGGAAAAGGCACCAGGTCCCATTTTATTTGGGTTGATCTCAAGAAAGGACCTGGACCAAATGTGGGATGTGCACGTGTATGAGCTTGCACGCATTTGCAAACACACAGGTTTCTGTGGGTATTAACATAGGACGGGAAATCTGGCTTGTTCTCATTCTAAATTGGGTATGTCTGTTTTGGCAAGTTGTGGGCAGTTCTTTTACTTTTGTCACCCAGAGGCTTCCTTAGACAACAAGAAAGGAGAAAGGTGTGCTGAGGTGCCCCAGCCTGACCCCACCCTCTCACAGCGGCCCCTCTTCCAGGCGGCACCACAGCTGGCTGCCTCAGTATATCCCCTCCCCACCCCCATGTGAAGACCTGAGATTGAGCGTGGATTTCTGTTCTCCACCAACCGTGCAGCAAGGGCCCTGCCAGAGGTGTCGCTTCCTGTCATGTCCTCTTCCTGCTCCCAAGTAGAGGCACCTAAACAGAGATTAGATTTCTGGTTTCAAGGCATCTCGAACCAAGCACGCCGAATGAACGTGAGTTAGCTAATTCGCTGGGTCTTGCTTCTCTCTAGTCTCTGGTCTGAGAGTTCCATGGTGGTAAATCGACCAGGAGAGAGTTGATTTGCATCTTAAGACCTATGGTTAACGCTTCTGGAGTGGGGAGTTTTATTTAGCAACTGCTTGAACTTGTATATGGGGTCGGGAAGGAGGTGGAGCTGACACCAATCGGGCTGTCAGAGATGGGGGCATGGGTGGTCCCCACTGCCACGCTCACACCTCGGGCCTCCAGGATGGCAGTCAGGAGCTGCTGCTGTTGCTGGCGGAGGGTGTCTGCGATGAGCAGGGGCAAGGAATTGAAGCTGGCCGTAAGGTGCTCCAGCTTGGACTCTAGGCTGCCGATCTGTTTCTCCAGGTCCTCACTGCGATCGTTGAGTTCTGTGATTAGGTCATACATGACGTTCTGCATCTGTGTGAGGAGATGGGAGGGGACAGACAGTCACAGAGGAGTTTGCCATGGAAGACAGGAAGCTCCTAGTGCTTCACAGAGGAGTGACTCCACTCCAGCTAGGTCAGCTGCGGTCAAGGAAGGAGATACGGGTTACTTTCCAGAGATGTTTGTTTTTCTTATTACAAAAGTGATTGGTGTTGATTATATATTTTAATAGGAAATATGTATGTAGGAAAAGAAATGACACTTTTTTCTTAAAAGAAGTGAGTTCTGACCCATATTGTTGGAGATGTGGCCTTTAACAACTAACAAGAGAGTGCTGAGGTGCAAAGGGCCAGCACCACAGACTTAGAAGTAGCAGGCCGGGGTTCAGGAGGTAGAAGTCCACAGCTCACTATTAATGTACCCTCTATCAGGCCACCTTGCTTCCTTATCAAATTGGAGTTAATAATAACTACAGCTACTTATGAGTTATAGTGCTCCACCAACCCTGCCATTTTCAACACAGCAGCCAGAATGTGAAATGTCATTACCTCCCAAGGCAGGGCTCTCAGCCACAGCGAGCTATCTTGCTAAGGTCCAGTCCTTCCCTGCCTGACCCATGTGGCCACAGTTTGGAACATCCCCAAAGGATCCCCCCAACCTGGCTAAGATATTTCCACATCCCGGTTGACTGTACTATGGTTCAGATGCTCTTCAGACCAGTTATGTTTCCCACACTCCTGACAGGTATTGTCTCAAGGGTGAGCCCCAATTGACTTCTTGCATCCAACACCACTTCATGGTACCAGGGGCTCCACCTTTTACCAGTGCTGTGTCCCCATACATCTTTGGATCCCCTGTGCTGATCTTCAGAATTCCAGTCTATGAGATAGTCTTATTTCTCCCAGAAATTTATCAAATGCTATTCTGGCTCTATACCTCTAACTTGGGGGACAGATTCACCGGAGTCTTCACACTCCCAGGGGTTCAGGAAGGAGACTCCAGGGGCAGCAATGCAGACCTCGAGGCTGGCAGTTGATGCCCCTACCCTAAGATACTAGACAGCTTTGGCCTTTGGGGGATCTGCCAGTGACATTGATCCTATTTCACCTGAAATATCAGGTTATTCTAGCAGAGGGTAAAACCATGGGTGCCCTGGGGGCCCAAGGAGCAGGAAATAAGGTGAAAAGGTGGGGGGGGGAGTAGAAGATGGGAGAAAATGAGAAGCTAGAGAGAAATAGGAAGAGAGTATTTGAAATGTAGCAAAATCTTGCCAACTGGAATTCACTGGGCTGCTCTCCCATTGGCTCCACCATTGCCAGAGGTGACTTTAGAAGTCAAAGTCTGTCCTTTGTTAATTAACATTCACAAAGCCTCCTCAAGGTGCAATTCTTCCCAGAATGTATAAGACCAGATTCTTCTTCCACAGGGTATCCTGCTGAGCTCTGGACTTGAGGTCCAGGCCCTGGGTTTAGACCCTGACCTTGAGATGGTCACTCTGTTCCTTTGGATTCTGGTTTCTTCATCTATATTCAAAATCAGTATTATCATGTGCAAAACCTTTAGAGTTTCCAAAGCATTTTTGCAGATATCACCTTATTTGATCACCTGAGCCTCAGATGGTAGGAATTACTTTGACATTTCATTTGAAGAAATTGAAGCAATCAGGTAAAATATCCAAGCCCTCCCAGCTCTGTCACCATGTAAAATAGCTTTTCAATCTAGAATATAATATTTGGAGGCCACGTGCCACATACTTAATGGGGGGAGACTGAAGGGCAGGGGTGGGAAGGTGGTGGGTTGGGAGGGTAAAACACAAAAAAAGAAAAAGGAGCTAGCACAGTGTTCTGTTGCCTTCCCCTGTTCCGTTGCTTGGTGACAGGATGCCAGGGGGAACATGGCCCAATGTGAAATATGCTAAGCTGCTGCCAGCACCTTGGGCAGGTCTCCTGGGGGGAAGAGACAAAGACTATAGGATGTCAGAGTTCATCTCTTCCCTAGGTTTTATGCCATGTACCCCATAGTAGCTCTGAGTCTCTTCTTAATGCTTTGCTCTATACTTTTTCTTTCCAGGTAACTTGCTCCCCTGGTTATGTGGTTGGCTCCTTCGTCCAATTCATAAGAGCATTTTTCCAGCTTACTGGGCTTTGTGCACCACCCAGTTAGCTCTGCTGGGTCCCTTTACTCTGAGAGGCTGTGGGTGGCACTGCAGAAATGTAAGCTTGAAAGTAGAAGGTACCTAATATTCTTGTGAACATCAGCCACAATGTGCCCTGCTAGATGAGCGGGAAAATAATGCTACTCCTAAAAATCATATCTTAGGAATTTCACTGGGCCATTCCTCAAGTGCACCGAGTACACTCCTAGCTCTCTGCCTTTCAACCTCTTCCTGGTCATAGCTGATTGGTCCAAGGGTGGGCACATGACCCAAACTGACCAATCATCTCATCTCATCTCATCTCATCTCATCTCATCTCATCTGAGAATCTAGAAATAAGACAAATAAGAGGTGGATGGAGAGAGGAAGAATGAGAGAGACAAAGAAACAGAGAGAGACAGAGACAGAGACAGAGACAGAGGATGAATGAGAATTGAGTCAGGCACTTGAGCAGGAGATATGAAAAATGGTGCAGAACACCTCTGGAGGCTTGCTAGGTCCTGTTCTAAGCAGTCCCTTCCTGAAGTCAGACCACATGTCTACTCTGATGCTGTGCTGGGAGGAGACTCCCTTATATCTTCAGAATGTGTTCCTCCACGAGACCCCCCAGGGTTCTTTCCTGCACACCAGTGTTCTGTTCACATCCTGTCCTGACTGTACTCACCACCTTGTGTGTGGGCACCCAGGCTCCCAGGAACCCTGCACTCTACCTGAAATGCCCCTCCAAGGCACACAGGCAGTAGGACTTCTCCCCAGCTGTGCTGAGCCACTTAATCCCTGATTAAAGTCCTCACAGGCCTAGAGGCCATTCTCTTTGTGTTGATCCCTCTATTGAACAAGGCACCTGCACGTGGCCCAACAATCAGTAGTTTTTGATTGCACCCTCTTTTCAAATGGTGCTTAATTGGCCAGAGGGAGTTACTCTTGTTTTCCCAGGGAATGGGTTCCATTATAATAATTGGCATCTGCTGGAATGTTCTGCCAGCCTGGTCATGGGCTATGCACTTGAGACTCAGATTCTATGGGAAGCAGTGAGGAGGGGGGCCTCTCTGCGGTGGTGCTGACTCTGCTCTGCCCACTCCCTTTACCGAAGTCATCTGCAAATGGAGCAAGTTTCTTTAAGTGCTCCTGGGAGTTCAGTGCCAGAAACACAGAATGACCATGTGATAGTGAGCTTAAACCCTTGAGCACTCAAAGGAGGCCTCTCTTCCTGGGATCTTCATGTTCACTTCTTAAGAAGCAAAGGAATGCACCATCCCCCTGATCCACCAATTTGGGGCTAGAAAATTAGGGTTGTAGGGATTGGAAGATGCAGGAAAATACATTTCCAATTATAGCACCAAACAGGAAGGGTCCTGTTAGATGGAACCCAGGCTGTTAGCCCAGCCATTGCACCATTCGGCCCTCATTAAGGTGCTTTGCCCCTGTGCAGCTCAGCTGGTCCTTAGGAGCTCCTCTGTGCACAGCTAATAAAACCACACACTGAAAAGACTCAGTAGGACAGCTAATTAGTTCCAAGCAAGGGCATTCCTGAACCACTTAGTTTAAGAAACAAATGCCGCGGCATAAGCACCTGCCTTGCAAGCAGGCAGTCGTGAGTTCGATCCCTGGTACCAATAAAAATAAATAAATAAATAAAAAGAAACAAATGCCAAGTTTTAAACAACACACCATAGACTATAAGCATCAAAAACTCAAACCTTTTTTAAACCAATATTATTTTTTAACCAAGGAGGTGCTGTTCTTCACTTTCCTGGTTCTGCACTGTGCACTTTGGACATAGTCAGGTGTCTGCAGGAGCAGTGGAGAAGTCCAGTTCGCTGCCTGGGAACTCTAAAGCATCTTCAGACTGCCCCTCACCTTGGAAAGGTCCACCAGAGTGTTGGCCTGGTCGCTCAATTTCCTCTGTTCCATCTTCACACTCCTCAGTCTGTGGGGGAGAGGGAACAGCTAGATCCTGCAAGTCCACACTAAGAGTTAACCCCACTGGCAGATGCCACGGCCCTGTCACTTCACCTGAGTTAGACCTTAGCCTGGGACCTGAACATGAAGAGCAACTGAAAGACACAAAGCTTTGTCAGGGCCCACGGAAAGCAAACTCTCGTCTCCATCAAGTTGTCATGCTCAACTTCAGTCGCTCTGTTTACCTGCCATTCTCAGACCCTTTGCCTGTTTCTTTCCTTTGCTTAGGCTGTGCTTGTACCCTCTCCTCAGCTTTCCAGTGTTTCCCCACACCTCAGATCAGAATGAATGTTTTGATCCTTTGCATTTTTACTATACTTAAAAAATAATTGCATTCCTCTCTGGGTGTGGCATTGCATTGCCTGTAATCCCAGTACTCTGGGAGGCTGAGGCAGGAGGATCACAAGTTCCAGCCCAGCCTTAGTGATGTCCTGTCTCGAAACTTGAAACAGTAAAAAAAAAAAAAAAAAAAGATAGGGGATTTAGCTCAGGGTGAAGGCCCTGTGTTCAATCCTACTACCACCACACCCACCCCCCAAATCATATTCTATCACAGAAGGTACTCCTGAGTTGCTGTACATAGGAACTGCGTGTGTGTGTGTGTGTGTGTGTGTGTGTGTGTGTACAAGGCCCCTTAGAGGCTCTTGCTCTCGTTTTCACCTTTCACAGCAGCAGCCTGCCCATAGCCTGGCAGGAGAAGTAAGTGAGTAGGCAGACTGGCTTGGGCCCAGTTCCTCACCCCAGTCCCACGGCTTAGAACAAAGTGGATTTCTTCGTGCCTCCTAGGTATTTGAGGAATCCCTCCCCCTAGTCTAGTCATCTGACGGCCAGGCTGTTTGGATACTCACTGGTGGATAGCTTGGAGGAACTTCCTCTGGTGCTTTCTGACTTTGGCATGGTCAATCTTCTTTAGCAGCTTTGTGTGTTTATAGATTAGCCATGTTTCCCGAAGGACATTGGCTGCAGCATTCTTGATCTAAGGAGTAAAATAAAGCAGGCTGCTATCAGGTGCATTGCCCTCGGTCTACTATACTGCTTCCCTGCTTTTTGCTGTAGTCTACCGCCTATGAAGACAATTCTGCAGTGATCTATTTTCTTAATCAAGATCACAGAACTCTGAGAAAAGATGATTAAAATTCATCTCTCGTTAATCCTGTACTGGACACAGTAGACTGGAGCTTGGAGTCGAAAGGCAGTCCTTCTTGCCTTCTTAATTATTTCAGTACTGCCTCTCAACTGCTGTTGCCAACGCTATATTTAGATAGGCTGCCTTAGCGAGACCTTGAGGCCCAAGGTACTCTTTGAATAGATAAATGTATGCCCTCCCTGGCCTCGCAGGCAGAGTGCTAATCTCACCTGAAGTTTGCTTTTAATGTATGTGATACATTTCTTGGATTTAGTGAGTAAACAGATTTCTTATGAGCTAGTGATTATAAAAAGCCTCTTTGAGGGAATATCTTTCCCACTGATTGGAAATCATACATACCAAGACCATTTCTTCTTTTCCAAAATGGCCAAAAACATTTACAATGCAATTCCTCATGTAAATGTCATTGGCATAAAACCAAAATAATTTCAAAGCAGTGTCTAAAAACCAGGGAGGATACTGAGGTGTGAACCAGGAGCTGCCTCTTCCCCGAGGCTGTCTCCTTCAACGCATGCTGCAGTCACGCGTTTCCACATATGACGCTGTCATCCGTTGACATGGAAACCACTGATATTACCCTGCTCTCGACTGAGCTGAGACATATCGATGGCATCCAGATGGCAGGGGACAAAGTTTTAATCCAAACACAGACATCTTCAGCAATTAGCGAGAGTAAGATAAAACTTATTAAGCATAAGCTCAACAGATTTTTGATTAACCATCTCCATTTCTGTCAGCTATGCACCCTGGCACAGGTCCACAGGCCCAGGGCCTGGAAGTAAGAGGCCAGCCTAGGAGAAATCAGGTTACTAGCCAGAAAGGGTTTTAATAAAATTGGAGCACACAGATCTGCCTCTTCAGACTGACATCAACAGATGGGACATTGTAAAAACTGCGGCATGTGGGAAGGTCTAGGAAACATTGTTTTGTAGCCTGATAACTTTTGTGTGTGTGTTTCAAAAATTTATTACTAAGGTTGGATTATACTTTTTCATTGGCGTTGAAGTGATATTTTTAAAAGAACAGCTAAGTCTTCTCAAAAAAATGTCTAAATGACATAAATATTGCTTTCATTAAAAATCCACTGCAAAATGGTTTTAAATTATTTAATTGCCCACCACTGGTACCTTCCTGCCTGACAGTGGTAAGTAGAAGCTGGAGATGGTACATGTCGGGCAAGGAGGGGCAAGGCAGGGAGAGAGTGCCCTCTGGGACCCTCAGGCCGGAGGGATGGTAGCACTGAGCATGCGTTACTGCTGTCTTTCTGCAGGGAAAGTGGGTAACGTGGAGCGTGATCCCTACAGTTTACCTAGGTGTTTGGTGACAATGGAAAGCCACCAAGACAAGCAGGAGGGAAGAGCCTTATCCTGGCCTTGGCCAAGACTATGGCCTTGGCAGAGCCCTCGTTACTGGACTTGTCTCTTTGAATGTTGATAGGGCCATGAACTATCAGCACACACAGCCTTTGACAGTGTGGAACAAACCTCTAAAGTAGGTGAATCAGCAGACTCTGCCAATTATTGAGCAGTTTAGGAGCAGATGCTTAATTATTCATAAGATGGGAAAAATACATCCTTTCTGTAAGGGCTGCTAACAGATCCAAAGGAGGCTGTGGAGCTGGTGGCGAAGGCAACAGCTGGCTTTTACCAGGCACCAGGCACAAGTCAAGTCCAAGGCTGTCCTGTGCATATTCACTGGAACTTCAAAACCCACTGTCGGACAGAGCTAGATCTCATTCCCATTTTACAGATAGAGAAACCGAGTCACACAGCAATGCCATATAATTATCGATTGGCCATGCAGTCAGTATGGATTTGACTGTTATAGGAACTATGAAGTGCCCTACAGATACTCGTTATTATCATCCAATTCAATCTCCCACTCAAAATAGGGGGCAACTGCTAAAGCAATGGGATGCGGGGCCAGAATCACATGGCTAGCTAGTGGCCAAGTCAAAACAACAGCCAGGTTCAAGACATCCAGAAGGTTTTCACGGGGCCAGAAGGAAGACTTGACCAGATTATATTTTCAGAAACAAAATTATTTCCTGTTTTTGGGATTAAGGAATTGGAAAGGACATTAGATATTTTTTTTGTTTTGTTTTTGTTTTAAATCATCACAGCCTTCACCTAGCAACACAGCAGAACATGGAGTCTGTGTCCCACATTTAATTTCAGCCCAAACGCCAGACACTGCAGTCACAGCAGCTTGGCCGCTGAGAGGCAGCCACATCATCTTTTAGGGGTTTGAACAGCTGGCCCTTGTGTATTCAGGAAAGTGGTGTTAAATGCAAGCCCTTTTGCTGACTGAAATTAATTGCCAGCAAACAGCCTGGCACAAAGCTAAGTAGATCAATATCTGCATGAGAAACAGAAACAGGCTTTTAAGTGCACGGGTGCTTTTCCTGTTAGGTAGTAAATGCTATTGTGTCCACCCAGCGTCTCCCTCTGGTTCACCTAGGACTGATCACTCTGAGCATCAGTGGAGGGGAGGTGCTCACCTGGGCCTGCTGCATGTGCTCTCCCCTTGGGGGATCTTGGGCACCCTCTGAGCTCTCCTGGGGGCAGGGGCACTGGGCCCAAATGATGTTCCTACAATGTGGGGGAGAGACAACTCTTTCCTCATCTGCTTTCTCTGAGAATTCACTATGATTCATGAATGGACCAAGATAATCTCTCTCTCTCCCCATGAACTCTGGCAGCTGGACTTGGGGCCAGCTGTCAAGGATAGAGGATAGGCCAGGAGCTTTAGGGAAGAAAAGTGGGCTTCTCTTGTGGGCCGGGCAAAGTGAACTTGAACAACAGCAGAACAGAATGATTCCAGTTTCATTTCAATTACGGGTATGAAAGAATCTTTGGAAGTCCCAGTCCTGCCAGTTTTGGAAATCCGCTCTCTGGAAGAACCATTCCTTCTGCACTGTTTATTTCTCTGGAGGAAAAATTAGACACTAAAGGGGCATTTCAACAGGTTTCGGTGTTCTCAGCAGAGTGAGATATTATTCGATTAAAAAGGTAACTTGTGCTTATGGATAAGCAATAAATATTTGCAGGAATGATTTTCAGTCTTGCTTCTCTACAAGTAAGTGGACCTGAAGTGGATTTTGGAGAATTATGTTTGAGAGATTGAAATTAGCAACCACAACCCCATCTCCTCCTACAGATATGTTGTGGAAAAATTATTTATTTTCCTAGCCTGTGAGGGAGCTGGCTTTATGTTCCTCTGGTGTCTGATTTCCTGGTGAAAAATAGAGAGGACAAAGGAATAACATGAAATACAAAGTATAGTCTTGGTTTTAAAAAGCAAACCAGAATAAAAAAGAGACTGTTAATGTCTCTGCTCCCAGTAAACAACTTTGGAGAAGGTTATGGAGGCAAAACCCCTCGCCCCTGCTGCTGCAGGCAGCTTCCATCCCTGGCAGTGCCACTAACTTCTCTCCGGATTAACAGATGCAAGCATTTTTGCACTTAGGTGTTCCAGTTGCTTCTGGAATCCTGCAGCCCAGGTGTGACTTTGGTGTGCTTAGTACCAAAGGTACAGGAGAGGAACCTGCTTGCAGTTTCAGTGCGGAACCCGCAGGTCTTTCCCTGGTGACAGCATCCACTGCTGCCACTTTCATGCTTAGAACCATGTTTTCTTTGTAGCTCAGGGGCACGATGTACCTCAGACAAGCATTTGTATGTCAACAATATAGGATTATTTTCTTTTACTCGTTCCTTTTCACATCAGTGGCTGTGCTTTGAAGAACTCGATAAATGTAATCAAAGACCAAACAATCAAACACCATAAATAATTCTGCTGAGAAACTGGAGAGGCCTTGGCAACTGCACATTCTCCCACTGCCTTCCCTAAGAGCTTGCTCACCACTCTGTCACTCTCTTTTTGTTCTCTCTTCCTGCCTTTGTCTCTATTTCTAACACTTTTTTTTTCCTGCTTTGCAATGTTAATCACTGAATATTTCTCTAGCTTTCAAAAACCGAAAATGGAAATAAGAGGTTGCTGCAGGGTCCTTTCCTTCCTGCATCCCAAAGGAGGAAGAGCGAGGACGGAGGCTGATTCCCAGCACGGGGTTTTGGTTGTCTCTGGCTCAGGAAAAGTCTTGGAGGACATCCTATTCCTGATCTGTGTTCAGGCTGCAGTTCTAAAGAATCTTCCATAAAAGCTGTCATTAAACAAACAGCTCCTGCCTGGCTCACTGGGCCTGCTGTTTATTCTCATCTCTGAAATGAGGCTTCTCCGCTCTGACAATTCAGTGGGGTGTCAGGTAGTTAGCAGCTAAATGATCTCCCCGTTCTTGCATAGTTTCTGTTTCTCATCCTCCTGAACCATTTTCACAAAGGTACAAATGAGAAACATTGTCCTAAAAGTACAAAAGGGGAGCATTGGGTGGTGATGTTTTGATGAACAATGATATTTAGGAATGAAGGCTCTACTGGAATGATCATTTTAAATGATTTTTTTTCAAGAAAACTTTAGATTTAGATACATTTTTATGTATCTAAATATGTACGTATTTTATAATACAGTTTTAAGACTCTTTATTGTCTTTCCTAACGGGAATCACGAAAACACCTTAGCACACATAAAAATGGTGCATCATGCTGGGTGATTTATTTGGCACCATTAGGTAGGGGTATACTATTGATCTAATTATCAGGAAATGATTTGGTTGCCTGAACCATGCACAGTGATTTAATGGGAGATGGGAGCTCAGCATGTTACTCTGTGGTGTCCACAGGGTGGAGGCTGTTTGCCTGTGCCTGTGGCTCCCACAACACTCCATCTAAAAGCAGAGCCCTACTCCATACCACACGGCTGACTGGCTTCCACTCTGGATGTAAGTCCCCCATTGCAGACACAGATTTGTGACATCTTACCCGTTTGGTGAGCTGAGTGTCCATCATAAAGTTGTGAACATGCTTCTCTGCTTTGGTGAGTTCCAGCTTTCGGGCCACCACAGCCACCACAAGGGCAGTGCAGCCTGCACCCTGTGGGAAGAGATTAGAAAGGTAAGTGTTCAGAGGCAAGGTGAAAACTCATCGTGGCCCATGCCTTGGTGAGCAACCCCTACAAGTGGCACAGAGACATAGGCTCTGTGGTTGGTCAAGCCCAGGCCACATAGGCTGGAAAAACTTGCTAAACTTGCAGAAGGGATCTGCAATGGCTTGTGCCTCCCGCTGGTTCTTACTACTGTGTAGGGCTGAGACTTGGAGCATTAAACCATAAATAATCCCATGTCCCCTCCAGGCTGTGAGTACAGCAGGAGCCAGAGGGCGTGGCACACACAGACTCTCCCTGCCCCATGTGTGTCCCAAGCCCACTGCTAGCACCAGCTAGTGGGCCCTGCAGGAAAGCAGGTCAGGGATCCACTGCAGTATGGGCACAGTACCTGTGGTATATGAGTTTTCCCAAAAATAACTAAAAGAGGCAACATGTTTCTCTCAAAGCTTATCTCCTACAGGGAACAATAGTTGGTACTCAACAGCTGCAGGTGCCATAGCCAGATCATTTTACCTGAAAGTCAAGGCTGGTTCTTTCTTGCTTTCAACAGATGGGCTTGTGAGTTTGCCATCATGCAGAAATTTTAAAGATGGTAACACTTCTGCTTAAATCTAAGACTTAAGACCTTTGGTAGTTCCCAGAACAATACACAGGTAGCTCCCTTATAGGACAGCACATAGAGGACAGGCAGAGAAGCAGGGTTCATTTGGCCCACCAAATGGCTCAGTTCAAGCTCTCTCCTAATCCTTTGGGGCACATTTGACCATCTGGGACAAATAAAGTAGAAGCCCATTCTAACATTCTCCATGTGGACATGCCCATCCTCTTTCCCGGGCTTCTCAGTGGCCTGTGAACACTGGGGGAGACAGATAATCACCCCCCTGGTTCTCCTATGTGTAGTGACAATCAGCCCTGTCCTTTGCAGGAGAGGATTCTCCTCTTCCTACACACAGGGACCACCTGACTGCCACTTATGGCAAGAGATGATGAACTTACCAAAGCCAACAGTAGGATCCTCTAGATGCCAAACAGGAGGTTTTAACAGTAAAAGAAGAGTTCAGTTGAGTAGCTTAAAGGCACTGTATTGAAGGAATCCATCAGTAACACTGTTGGCACATCAGGCCTTACAAAATGGGTGCGAGGTGGACAAGAATCTTTTTTAAAGGTACTGTAATCCACTTTTAAATGAGCCGGCAGGTAGCTTAGTCCCCTGGCCACTCCTTGATATTCTTTCTCTCTTTTCCCTTGGCTGACAAAGGGTAGCCCACATGCAATTTTGGCATGGCTAAAGTTGAGGAGACTTTCTCCTAATTTTCCACAAGGGTTTCTATTAAAATAATTGAGCGTTTCTTGTTACATTTGGTAACCACCCATTCTGAGCACAGCAAGATGAAAGGAACTGGGTCTGTGTGAACTTTCCTTTTCTGACCTCATTTTCCTCTTTTGTTTGAGGAGGGCTGTGTTTTCTTGGCATCTGTAGTTTGCAGGAGATTCTGTGCCCAATTTTCAGGGGATATGGCCAGTTGGACAGCCTAGTCTATAGCTGTAATCAATTTAGCCAGCCCTCCAAAAGCAAAAAATAGCTTAAAAGAAGCTGTCCTGGAGGGAGGATATGTGCTCCCTTCCCCTCTACCAGGCCCAGGATCATCCTCGCCTTTATATGGAGTTCCAAAAGTACATTAGGATGAAAGTCCAAAAAGAGGGCCAGATCACAGTGTTAAAAATGGAACATCTGATGGAGAAGGTTCTCCCAGGCTGTTTTCCCTCATCTCCCTGCAGAATCTCACCTACATCATCCCTGAAGGCTGAGGGTACAACAGCCAAATAGAGTTTCCATCCTCACCTTGCCACCTTGGGAATTTGATCATCCATTTGAACATCTCAAAATTTCAGGGTCTAAAAGGCATTCCCTAAGGTTCTGTGCATGGCCTGCAGCCTAGTTGATTGAACACAGGGGGTTTCTAAATAGAGTGTTTGAATTAAAGAACCATCTATCTTCTAATGAGAAAGATAAATTTCTATATGGAGGCTGGGAAGTAAACCAGATTGTATCTCCCAACTTCTTGGAACTTCAAGATGTTGAGACTTCTTTGTGGATATTTCTCTAGAGGATGCTGCCTTCTTGACCCCTAATTCCAACTTGAATAGATAGCGATGGATACTCTCAATTTCTTTTTCTCTTAGATAATCTGACATCTGTTTGTAATTAGAAAGGGCACCAATAATGACCCTTAGCCGGGTCATTTCCTGTAACAGGAAACCTTGCAAAGACATCAGCAACCTTCATAGAGTGGTAGGCAGAGCTGAGATGCAGGCTGCTGGTCCTCAGAGTGTCTGTGACTGGGGGCAAGGGTGTGGGATGAAGGAGTGAGAAGAGGAGAGAAGAAAACGGAAGGCAAGAGAGGAGGGCACAGAGAGAGACAAGGAATGAGAGGGAAAACATGTTGTGTCACATCCTAAACAGCAAAGGTCAGAGGATGGAATAAGAAAAGAAGGATGGGTTGATGGGCAGAGAATGAGAAAGAAAGAACCAAGAGCCTAAGGTAGCAAATAGTCAGTTCTGGCTCTTTGGTAATAAAGGAAGGGCCAAGGGGGTTCACAGCCACACCCTGTCATGTGTTGTGTTCATTCCCAAGCAGAATAAAGGTCACCTCCTTCTGCATTCCTTTTGGAATGATGGGCTTTCTTACTTCAAGGAGTTTGTCTCTCTGACAGGGCCATGGCAGCTGCCTGGAAGTGTTTGTGTGATGTGGCTGAGATGCAGTTTGATTTCCTGAGACAAAATGACCAGGGCCTGGTAAACTGTAGCATGTGAGAACTCATGCTGACCTCACATGGACTCTGTGCCCTAGGTGGTAGACAGTGGGGTGGTGAGGAGAGGACAGGGTGGGACCCAGGGGTAAGCAGCTGTTGGCGTGATTCCCACTGGGTCAGATTGGGGAACACATCTGTGACTTGGCCTTTTACCCTTAGTTATGCTAAGTCTTCAATCACAGCTGACGCCAACTGGTTTCTTTGGGCCTGCTCTCCTTGACCCTATTCCTATGATGGGGTGGGGACAGGATGACCTCCAGTACAGTCACATTGCATGGTGTGTGGGGAGCAGAGGTGCCCAGTGAACAGACAGCAGGTATACAACAGAGCAGAATATGCCCAAGGTAACCACAGATTAAACCCAAACCTAGACCCCAACCCCTCCACACCACTCCTCCCACTTCTTGTTTCCAAGAAATATTTCCAGCTGGAAAGTCTTAGAAGCTGGAATAACAAGGATCCCAAGGGGGAAAGTATGAGATGTTCTTAACTAAAGAAGCATAAAATAAAACAAAACATAAATGAAAGTGACAAATGGAGGAGAGAAGCCTGGAGGATTTACAGTTGGATTCTGTTGCTGCAACAGATTCCACATTAACAACTAAAATAACATCAACTGGTCTGAAACCAAGGTGTTTCAGGAGCGGCGCATCTAAAAGCAACATTAAGCAGATGTCTCGCCGAGCCCTCTTGGTCTCCTCCCAAAATGATCCAATGTGTGCTACCTTTTACCTCGTCATCCCTTTCCTGTTGCAACTCAAAGAGCCCTCTCCCAGGAGGCCGCTGGGGAAAGCTCAGTGTCTCCACAGACATCCCAGGGTGTCTGTACAGGGCCCACAGGGCACAGCCTGCTTTAGGAAGTAGTTCTGTTGAAGTTGTCCCAGCAGACTTGGGGACCCTACCAGTCTCCCAGATGGTCTTCAGGACCCAGTAGCCAAAGCTTTGTGGTCATTTCCCATTTAGGACACCATGTAAGGACAGCTGCCCCTCTTCTACATTGTAATTCATGCTGAAAAGTCCTCATGGAAAGACAGTGAATTTTGGTGTATCTGTGTTTGTGGGTGAACCCTCTCAACACACCAGGTCTATGCCAGCAATGTCAAGTTGTCCAGACAATTATATATCCTGCCTAATGGTTGATAATTACACCGTTACTGAGATTGCCAAAAGAAAACAATGATTAAGACCATTTGCAGCCTGCACACACAAATCCTTCCTTTCCCTTCCTGAGCAAGCCTTGCCTTGGCCTTCGTGGTATCCATGGCAACCAAACAGGAAGCCCTACCTTTCATCAAGGCACTTGCAATAATAATCAGGATATACATTGTGCTGGGGGGAGGGCTCAGCAATGTGTCCCTCTCAAGAGGGATGACTCAGCTGCAAAGTCACATCAGATAGAAAAAAGCCACCAAGTTTCCAGAGCCAGGGGTTGACTTTGATGTGGGTTAGAGCCTGACAGTGAACAGAGGAAGCTGTGCTGGGCCTGTACATGGAGGGGTTCATATTCAGGAAAGCAAGTTCTGTGCAAAAGGAGAAGATGAAAGGCCTGTGCTGTGTCATAACATGGCAGGTGGGTGTCAGCTCCCTCACCTGTTTGTCCTTTCCATCCTGATCCTACCTCAGTCCACGAGGAGCAGACACTCCCTTCCCAGGAGTGCTGTGGCCCCCACAGCTACAGGGATGCTGGGAGACAAAACGCCTACTGGAGACCACTCCCAGAATAGGAGTGGGGTGAGATGGGGGTCTTTTGGCCTAGTGTGCTTTGTTGGCAATATGGGGCCAGGAACTGGGGCATGGGTCGCTTCTTAGCTGGGATACAGCTCGTGCTGAATGGCTAGAATTTTTAAAAGCTGCCTGCTGGTGTGGCCCAAAGCCCAGGCCCCGGGAGTGGCTCTCAGAAGGCAGGCTTTGGCCTTCAAGTGGCATTTCATCCCTTTCTGGCAGCAAGAATCCTTCCCTGTTTCCTGGTGACAGCTGGATCCGTGCCAGACTCCTAACTAACTGATAGGAGCTATTTGTTCTAAAGCGATAGGCTTACCCAGGGTTTACCCCCGCCCCGTACTAAGCTGTTTGTCACTAAGGGCTATTGTATCAGGGCTGCCCACTTGCCTTGGGTTTGCATCTGGAAGCAGGAGAGGGCTGTGTCTAGATTGACCTTCTCTCCTTTGGGGTGACCTGGCCTAGGGGAGGTATAAAATGGCAGAGCCACTGCCCTCACAGAAAGAGGGTATTTTCTATCCCCAGGAACACAGGTGAGAAAGGCTTTGGCAGGAGCTCTGAAGGGAGGGATGTCACACCACAGATGGCAAAGTGCTCAGGGAGGCCTGAAATGATGAACAGAGAGCAGCTCCACCACAACCAACCCCAAATACTGCTCTACTCTCACCCCAGGCCTCAATGTGTGCCGTCCTTTTGAGGCTTTGTTTCTTCTTCTGAAAAAAGCATCTCCCTTCTGTACCACCATGCTCTTCCCAAGATTCCATTGATGGGGCACAGAGTAGTGCTTGCCTGTCCTGCACCCAAGGTGCAGCAAAGCCAAGGGGTGCCTCCTAGTCCACAAAGGAGGAGCTCTGAGACAAACGGCACTGAGGACACGCCCAGCACTAACTAGCCATGTTTCCCATGTTCTTTGACATAAATCAGTTTGCGTGGGCCTCATAGAAGCCACTGAACAGGGTGGGGCAGGACCTCCATCCTGCTCCACTTGACACCAGAGACAGCTGCAGGCTGGTCCAGGGCCACCATGCAGGCCACAACAGAAACTCAGACACTGCTCTGCCTCTAGACCCACTTCCTTCCCACATGGTTTGCTCCTATGGCCCTGGCATGGGCAGTAGTCTGTACCTCCCAGAGCATGTGCTGGGGCGGGGCCAGCAGGCTGTGACAGGAGACACCCACTGTGGGAGGATGCAGTGTGTCTCCTGGGCACTGGGGTGGGGTTGACCTTGCCAGGACCAGCACTGGGAAGGATTCAGCATTCAGAATCCAGTACCTCCCTACGCAAGAGTGAAGCTGATACCTGGGAACAGCAAAAGCTGGCCCTGTCAGCACCCAGAAGCCACTAGACCTGGCCAGAACGTAGCTGTCTCCACTGCCTGGCCCTTCCAGTTCCCACTAGACTTACCAGTGTCTCTAGGGGACGGGACGGGCCCTGAGGCTCGCCAGAAGTGACTAAGGGTCAGAGTGGTTACCAGCTTCCCTCAGCCCATGTTGGGGCTGTCAGGAAACAGACTACCAACTACCAGGAACTAGTACCTTCCTCCTACCCTCACAAAGGAAACTGAAAAGGAATAAACCACTGCAGACTTTACCTCTGCCTTGGTTTTTTTATGTTTTGTGTCTTGGCAATGATACTAGGCCTTTGCACTGAGCTACATCTTTAGGGCTTTTTTAATTTTTTATTTTGAGCCTGCATCTCACTAAGTTACTAAATTATCCAGGCTGGGCTTACACTTGCAAACCTCCTGCCTGAGCTCCCAGAGCATTGGAATTACAGGTATGCACCGCCGCATCCAGCTCCCACCTGCCTTTTATGTCCAGGGAGCATACACACAGGGGTGGGAAAGGGAGCTCTGCTCTTTGCAATACACTGTGGTAGGGTCCCAGGCAGAGGTAGGTACTCACCATGATGCCAGTGAGAAGGCAGACACCTTTCCCACAGTACGTGTGGGGCACCATATCCCCGTAACCAATGGAAAGGAATGTGATGGAGATAAGCCACATGGCACCCAGAAAGTTACTGGTTACATCCTGTTGGTCGTGGTACCTGCCAAAGGGAAGATAAGAGTTAGCCAGGCCAGCTGCTGTTGCCCCAGGGAGAGGCTATGGACAAACCTAGAGGGGGAAGGAAATGCGGGAATTTGCTGAGGAGACTGCAGCAGTAACTGTAGCACACAGAGCTAGCTCCTTTCCTTTCCGTTTCCCTTCCTGCCTTCTTTTCTTTCTTTCCCTCCTTCCTTTATCTTTCTTTCTTTTTCTAGTACTAGGGATTGAACCCAAGGCTTTCATACTGAAATACTTTCCTAGCCTTTCATTTTGAGACACATAAGTCACTAAATTCTCCAGGCTGAGCTTGAATTTGCAGTCCTCCTGCTTCAGCCTCTCCAAGTGCTGGGATTGCAAGTGTGCACCACCACGCCTGGCGCACATACAGATTTCTTTAGCAGATTGAGGGTGACAAGGCTGTGCCAATCCAGGACCTGCCTGCAGCTCCCCACCGTGCCATGCAAGAGCCACAAGCTGGGTCCCAGAGGGACAAAGTGTTGTCGTGATTTGCCCCATATCATAGACATCATTTCAGTGTTGGTAAGGACAGCTTTGGATGAAATCATTCAGTCATGAAATTTAAATTCGCCCTTCAAAGCCAAAAGTGTAAATGTGTATGGAGATGATTAATCTGAAATCTCAAGCTCCTCAACAGGGAAACTCAAAAAAAAACCAGAACACATTTAAGGAAGTTAATGAACCCGAGCTGGCCCCTCCCCTGTGTCTGGAGGGCCGTGGAGTGGCTGAGAGCTGACTCAGCACTACCCAGAGGGAGCTCCGGAAGCTACAGAGGCCTGGTCTCCTCTTTCGAGCTGGGCGGGGGCTGTGGCTGCCCTAACCTGGGAGGGATCCGTGAGAATCATGTTAGCAGCGGTTCCTCTGCCTCAACCCCCTTTTGCGATCTCGGGGTTAACCCAGGAAGTGGGGTGCCAAGGATGCAGACATCTGCGGAAAGTGGGCAGATAAGGCACTTGGCACCAGAAGGAGACAGCAATGACCTGGACCCCAGCTATAAGGATAGATAGATCTGGTGCTGCCCAAAGTTAGAGGCCACCAATGTGAAGGTATGAACAGGAACAACCGTCAACGAAGAGGCCACGAGGACACCTCCTCCCAGGAGTAGAAGTAAGGCCCGCAATTGTGTGTACACTCGTGCATACGTATGTATGTGTACACTCGTGCATATGTATGTGTGTATTTGGTTTTGTTAAATTACCCAGATCAGCCTCCGACCCATTATCATCAAACTACCGTCTCCCCATGAGCTGGGGTTGATCGCCCATGGGTGCCACTTTGCTTGGTTACAGCCCTTTATGTTGCAATAAGCTCTTTTATTAGCGTGACAGTGATGGGGGGGTATTGGTACATGCAGATAACAAGTCATTTTTTACCTTTTTACCCCTTCCTTACTTCCCCTTCCTTCTGATCCCATTCCCATCTCTGAAAGTCTGCCTGTTTCCTACCATCCCCCCTTTATTCCTTTATTTATATTTTACATATAAAAGATATTGTGCAATATTTAACTTCTGAGCCTTGTATTTCATTTAGCATTGAGTTCCATCTTGTTCCTGAAAAGACATGATTTCTTTCTTATTTATGGCTGAATAATACTCCATTGTATATAAATACCATATTTTCTTTATCCATTTATCTGGTTCCCAGAGCTTAGCTATTATGAGTTTCACTGCTACCATCAAGCATATGCATCTATCACTGTAGCAGATTGCCTTTAATTCTTTTTGGAATATACTCAGGAGAGGTATAGCCAGTCTAATGAAATTGCTATTCTTAGTATTTTGAGGAATCTCCATACTGGTTTCCAGAGTGGTTTCCCAGACATTTCCACAGACAATAAGAAAATGTTCCTTTCCTCTCCCATCTTCACAAGCATTTGCAGTGAACTTTTTCTTATTAGTATACGTTTGCAGTACACAATCTCTACATTCCTTATGTGGAGTTGGTGCATGTACACAACACATCTCAATTCTTTTTTTTCCTTCCCTTTCCCTCCTCTCCCTCTCCCCTACTTCTGTCTCTTGATCCCTTTCTCATTTGAGAAAGCCCTACCTCCTTAGCTCCTATTATCTATCTTTTATTTTGCTCTTTATTTATGCTTTGGCTTTTCATATAAGAGAAACAATGCAATATTTGCAAACTTGTGTGTCTAGCCTATTTCACTTAACTTTATGGTTTCAAGCTGAGACCATAAATTTTCCTACAAATGACTCAAGTTTATCCTTCTTTGTGGCAGAGAAGCACTCCACTGTGTATACACCACATTGCCAACAATGTAAAAGGGTTCCTTTTCTCCTACACCATTTCCAGTATTTGTTGTTATTTGATTTCTTGATGATGGCCATTTTTCCAGAGTGAGATGGAATCTTGGTATTGTGTTAATTTTCAGTGGCCAGCAACACTGAGCATTTCTTTACGGCCCTTTACAAAAAGGTTTCCTGTGGCTGCCTGCTTTGTTTGCCCTCCACTAGAGGGCACTACTTTGGATGCAGACAGTGCTCCTGCTGGCACCTTAATCCTGCACTTCCAACCTGCAGAACTGCAAAAAAATAAACTTCTGTTCTTTATAAGCTCCTTAGCGGTCTTCTGAGACAGCATCCCCAGCAAGCCAAGACAGCACCACAGAGAAGCAAGACAGCACTGTCACGGAAGGCCAAGAGGAGAGGGCCCGGCAGAGAAAATGTCCTTGCGAGAGCCCAGGCCCAACACAGGGCAATCTGACTGCTGCCCGGGGTGCAGAGTTCAGCACAAGCCTCTCTGACAGTGGTGACTCTCCATGGGCTGCGTTTGCCCTGGAGGGGCACCACTCCTTGAGAAAAGCCCCAGCCCCTGGTTGACACTGGGAGGCCCCTGAGTGAGGCAGGCGAGTCAGGGCTGGATAGAGCAGAAGGCATTTCAGGACCCTCCTCTACAGAATGTGGGGGGGGGGGAGGACGCGAGCTCACACATGCAGGGTACTTGGAACGGGCCTGGCATTCAGGTCCTCAGTAAGCACTGGCTACTCTCATGAGTGTCCTTGTGCCCCCCTGGGGTAGACAGTCAGGCACAGCTACAGGGTGTGTACTTAGAGATGAGTCTGGTGGGAAAGGAGGTGGGAGTCATCCACACTGGGAAACAACAGGAATACCGTATGATGGATCCTATTTATCAGGCACTGGCTGTGTGGCTGACAGTTTGATTCTCATCGTCTCCTTTAAAGTATCCCATAGCAAGTCCAGAGATGTTGAATGACTTGCCCAAGGACACACAGGAAGTAGCCAAAGCAATGTCCAGGCTCCTTTCACTGCCTACTAGCATCGGAAAAGCAGGAGTGACTGACATGTATCTTGGGGAAAGATGGGCAAGTTTTAGTGAGAGGAATTGTCATGGTTCAATCTCAAATGTTCTCCAAAAGGCTGGAGTGTTCAGAGGCCCGGCCTCTGGGTGGTGATTGGGATTATGGGACTCTAACCTGGCGGGTAAGTTCCTCTCCTGTGGTAAGCTCTCAGCTGAACTGCAGTTAGGAGGTAGGCCTGGCTGGAGGTGGGTGCTGGGGTGTGACTGTGGGTGCTTTTGTCCGTGCCCCCTTCTTCCTGTCTGGCTTTTCCTCTCCTTCCTGTTTCCTGCCCACAATGGCTGAGCCCCTTCCTCTGCTATACTCTCTGCCATGCTTTCTGCCTTGGAGCTGGCCACCCATGGACTGAAACCTTTGACATTGTGACCCAAAATAAAACGTTTCTCCTTTAAGGTGACCATGTCAGGTACTTGGTTCTAGTGATGAAAAGCTAATACAGGGGACAATTGAGATCCAGTAATAGGCAATGAGATGGCTTTGGAGACTGATGAGTTCCAGTGCTGGAGGGCCTGGAATTCTAGGGTTAGAAGTTTGACTTTAGTCCTAGAGACCTTGGAAGTCAATCTAGGTTCCTCTGCCGAGGAATGAGAAGGTGGTTTCGCTCATGGGGAAGGACTGTCTGCAGACAGTAAGGAGACCTAGCAGAAACACAAAGGTGGGAAGGGGGCAGGCAGAAGCTGACACCACCCAAGCCTAGCCTTCATCATCCATGGCTCATCCAGCCCCTTGTGCATCCTTGACCAGCAACAAGAGGGGGTGGTATTCTTTTTGTCATTGTCTGCAGGGGTGCCTCGTACTTGGGGCGGTAGGGGGTAGAAGAACAGCCACCCCCTCCCCAAAGTGTGGATTTACCTGCTCTCTCCTCCCTGCTCTACCCAGCAGACATCATTTCCCCTCTGACTGTCCTGGGTGGAGTACCCAACCCTGACCCCTGGCACTGAGCTGACTGTATCCTGTACATCAGCCCCATCCCAGTTCTGGTGTGGCCTTGGACAGGCCACTGCCCACCCATCCTGCTCGCTCTGCCCTGGCAGTCCCTTGGGTGTGCAGTCCCTGCTCCTGAATGCCAGTGGCCTGCTGACAGGCCCTGGCTCTCAGGCTCTGCACGGGAGAACTAGCTTTGGGGTCTGTGACTCAGGAAGAATCAGTGTGACTGCAGACACAGGAGGGAAAAGAGCTGGGGGAAGCCCATGCTGCAAGCCAGCAGCACATGAACAAACACAGAGTCAAATGCAGGGTCACTGACTCATAGGACTTCTTCCTGAGAAATGAGTCTTGGTCTTAGGACCTGGCTTAGGAGATGAGCAGGTCCTAAGGGGTGTTTGCCTGGGCTCCAGTTCCAACTCTACCATAAGCAGTTCCATGGCCTTGGACAAGTGACTTCACTTCTCTGTGACTCAGTTTCCTTGTCTGCTAATGGGAAAATTATGTGAAAAAAGCAACAGAAGCATGGTGCTTGGCCCAGAGTAGGCACATATGCAGATCAGTGCTGGATACTGGTGGTGACAGGGTGCTGTCAGCAATCTGAGAAACATGGGTGGGGTGGGGCATGTATAGATAAGGGCAGCTCAGAAGCTCCTCAGGGTGGCAGGTTTTCATGAAGTCCTAAAGTTTAGGCTGCAGAACTTTGGTGGGAAAGAAGTAGCCAGTAA